ACACAAAGTTCACCAGCAACTTCTGGAAGAACCTCTGGGAGCAGTTCGGAACCAGGCTGCAGTTCAGTTCGTCGTACCACCCCGAGACCGACGGTCAAACGGAGCGGACGAATCAGACGATGGAGCAGTTGATTCGTGCCACGTGCGACGACCCCACGACTTGGGAGCAGCAGCTGCCGCTGATCGAGTTCGCGTACAATAATGCCACGTCAGCGACGACGCAGCAGTCCCCCTTCTACCTGAACTACGGGCAAAATCCTACAGTGCCCATGACGCCGAGTCCGGACAACCCAACACCACGAGCACAGCAATTCGCCGAAATTCTGCAAGCTGCCCGCACCAGAGCCGCAGAAGCAATTAAAAAAGCAAACGCCATCGCTAAGCGCAACGCTGACCGCCACCGCCGCCCAGTCACATACCAGTCAGGGGATTACGTACTGCTCGACACGCAGAATCTGCGACTGCCCGACGTACCAAAACTTCGACCGCGCTACTGTGGCCCATTCCAAATCAGCCACATGATCACGCCAGTAACCGCGCACCTACTGTTACCGACCGACTGGTACATCAGCCCTTCGTTCCATGTCAGCTTGCTTCGCCCCTACATCCCAACCACAAGCCAACTGCCTCGCCACCGCCCGCCATCCATGACTCGCCCTGCATCGGAGCCGATCATCGAGCCCGAAAAAATCCTGAGCCATCGGATTCGACACCCCACGGGACTCAAGAGGATTGAATTCCTCGTCCGCTGGAAGGATCGCACGCCAACTGAGGACAGCTGGGTGCCCCTGGCCAACATTGAAAACCACCCTGCCCTGCAAGTGTACCTGAGGAGCCGGGGATTCCGCGATATACACGCACCCGCGTAGCGGAGGGGGCTTCTTGAGGGGGGGGGGGTAGTGTAAGGAATTTTCTCGACATTCCTTACGGAGCCCGACTACATCGCGTACAGCAACAGCCGTTGTTCGCCCGTTACTGCTAACGGGGCTTCGCCGACTTCGCGCACACTGTTTTCACCAAACCTCGCACTGCTGGCATGGCCGTGTCGGCCTACGCTTCGGGACTAGCCCAAGCCTCGCTCCAGCGTAGCACTAGCTAGCTCGCACGCACCGCGTTACCGTTTGCATGTTTCGCGTATAAATGTTCGCTCATGCCTTCGCTCACATTTTGTACTCGTTTGACACCTTAGTGCAATTCTCGCTACTTCGATTCATTGCACCCGTAACACCCCGAAACCCAGGAGATTTTTCGTACAGTACATCTTGCTTCAGAGCGAGATTCGACACTATCCTGACTCATCAGGGCTGAACCTACAGCCTTATCCTGAGTTTCAGTACGCAAAATAACCGTTATACTGAAATTACAGGACAATTATTCCTGTTATGCTGTTTTTCCAGGACTAGCACACAACACCTATCCTGAATTCAGGAGAATCGGGATAAATTATCCTGATAACTGAGGCCCTGCTCTCATCCTAGTGTGATGCTCTATGCAGTAGATGCCCAATTCCAATTTAAAGCAGAAACGGCATGCCATCACATGGAAATTGTATCATACACCATGACTTCAGATGGATTGCAATAAGACGTTCCACTGCAGTGGTGTCAAGGTATGCATATAACGTCTACTCTAATTTTAAAGCAATTGACAGACCAGCTAGATCATCTATAAGGCAGCCATACTATGCATGAGAGGCATGAACCACCACGGAATAGGAGTACTGAAACCAAGGAGGCTTCAAGCTTGACCTGAGAGTTCAGATGGGACCTGAAAACCAGAACCCACACATGAGCTGTAATCAAGGGTGTAGGGAAGGCAGCTACGGTAGTACCAGAATTCTCGAACTCGTTGAGAGAGCAAGGAACCTTCTCACTTCCTAGGCCTTGCACATTACGTGCACCAGATGTCTGTTGCATCATGGCGAATAATCGAACCTCCAAGAAACACCGGGCCAACCTGTTGACTGATTTCCACTTGCGTGGAGTAGGGCTTCCCCAGCGGGTTTCCCCGTTACGGGAAGTCACCTGCAAGCCAGTCAACGGGAATGACTCACGGCATCAGGTAACCAGTAAAACATGGACATGTAAACAAGACAGACTGCTAGACTAGTCGCTTATATATAAAAAAACCCGTTGTGAAATGTCTCGTCGCAGAATGTCGCGTCGCAGAATGCCGCTGAGATATGTGAAGGAACGCCGTCAGGAGGAGGACGTTATGAATCAATGAAGCCCGTCTTCTGAAGAATAGCCGTTCGCACGCGAGCCAGATCCCTTCCTCGTAACGTCCCTCCAACTCCTTCGTGTACCGAGAAACACATCGACGGGGATATATTCCTTGCTGCAAGCTCGTGCGGCGGAACCATGGCGTCATCACCGTCGTTCTCGGGATCGTCGTTCATCGTCCAACGAGAGGGCTTTGACGATCTGCCTGTTATTTTACTCCAATCAGGGACGTTGACAGGAGCGGAAGCACGATGATGACCTTGGGAAAGCCGCGACTTTAAATGATCAAGGTGGTTGTGAACGGTTGGGATAACGACAATGTCTCCAGCAGGACGTTGTCCGAAGGAACTTATGTCTGAAGATAGAATAGCGAGACCTTGAACCTGGTTTGAAAAGACACCAGCTGAGGAGCTCGCGTCTGCTTCAGCCCTAAGGCGCAATGACGGTAGACCTTGATCGTGCAACGAAACCCTGGCAACTCCGTCGGTTAAGCTGTCAGAATCCGTTACAGACCAGATGTCTTCTTCCGTGAAGTCGTCGCCAGAAGCCTGTACGCAAGAGGACGGCGGGATCGAACCTAACAAAGTTGATCCGTTCTGGAGGCGGTTGCCGTGATTGGACGACCCTAACCCAGAAGCAGCCATTCCTAAAACGACTTGACTTGAAAGCGGAGAAGGGTGTGTAAACATCTTGGATGTTTGGGCACCGAGAAGAGCCTGGACACAGGTAGGCCTAGCTCTGTTGGCCTGGTATCCAAGAAGTTTTAGAGAAAGAAAGCACACCACAGCCAATAGCTGGAAGTGTGGCTGTTAGAAATGAAGTGGCTAACAAACCAAAACAGGGAATTGTATGGAGGAGATGGAAGGGAAGGAAGCAAACGGACAGAAACCGCAGTTCCCGCCTGTACCCTCAACAACTCAACAGGCAGAGGTGGGGATGGGGGAGGTGAAAAGGGCACGGGGATGGAGAGGGGGAGAATCAAGGAGAAGAGGGGAATGGATAAAAAGCACCACCACGGCACGTGCCCTACCGAGTCGGTGGGCGAGACGGGATTTGGGAAGAATGAGGGGGAAACGGCGGAGAGGGGGTACGACCGCGGAAGGAGAGGGGTGAGGAGAGGGGGAAGGAGGAGGAGGGGAAGGTGAAGTGGGGGGTAGGAGGAGAGGGGAGGAGAGCGAAGAGGGGGCGGGAAGGGGAGGGGGGAAAAAATCCGGTGCGAACTGTGCGTGCCGGGGATTAGCCATTCGTGCCTAAAATCTTGGGGCGAAGCCTCGAATCTTCCGTGCATTTCTTATGACAAATCGCCTTGTTCCTCCATCCAACTACCTGTCGCTCAAAGATGTTTTGATCGCGCAAATCCCCGTCGCATCCCCTAGCTTCAGGAACCCTGCGGGTTGCCAGCTGGATAGTCCCGCAGCACTTACACAACAGCCTCGCTTCCACCCTACAAAATAATATCTAGTTTCCTCTCAGGGTAGTTTGTTAAAAAAAAAAAAAAAACGAGCACCCGACTCCCCTTGAAACGAAACCTTCTACCAGATAACTGGTGTACTCCACACCACACGAGTGCTCTACAGTAATCGGATGAATATGCAACGTTATTTGAGCAGATTTGAGCAACGGCTCTGTACAATTGTGTACCTGCAATATTATGATGTTACAACCTTGGAATCTTCATCATACCACTGCTTGACCAACTCCACCAGCATCAGTGCCTAAGATGCATGCACCAGCACCAGATAGCGAGCAAAATGGGAAATGGGCAATAAGATGCCACGGGGTTTCCTCTACATTACTGAAAAGGCCCATTTCCCCTTCCTCTTCCTGCATGCACAAACTGAAAGCGGTCCCCTGAAACCGATTCACTCGAGCGTCGCCTGTGGTTTACCTGAGACATCACCTGAGGCTTCACCTGAGCCTCCTCAACATCAGCGGCACAAGCAGTATGCCTGCGATTAAGCCCCCTGGTACCTCGTCTTTCAACAAACCTCGTTCTCGGACCATCATGCATAGATTTCGAAGGAATGGCAGCTGCACAGGAAGGGGCGCCTGTAGCAGCTGCTATACCACGTGTAGCTGAGGTGGGTAATTTTCTGGAGACAGGCATAGTGGCACTGCGAAAGCACACATCTAGGTCTGTAGCGCAGCTCATGTCATTAGCTGAGGTCAGTGGCAGTGCAGCTGGCTGTGCAGATGCAGAGCCGGCTTTAGAGGTTGTTGCAGCCCTAGCAGCTACAGCTGCCCTAGCAGCGACAGTGAGTGATTGTCTGGAGACAGGCATCGTTGCACTGCGACGGCAAGTGTCTGTATCTGTAGCGAAGCCCGTGCCATGAGCTGATGAGGAAGTCGGTGCAGCAGAGTGCACCGAGGGAGAGGCGGCTGGAGAGGCTGTAGCAGCTGTAGCGGCTACAGCGGCCCTAGCAGCGACAGTGAGTGATTGTCTGGAGACAGGCAACGTTGCACTGCGACGGCAAGTGTCTGTATCTGTAGCGAAGCTCGTGCCATGAGCTGATGAGGAAGTCGGTGCAGCAGAGTGCACCGAGGGAGAGGCGGCTGGAGAGGCTGTAGCAGCTGTAGCGGCGACAGCAGCCCTGGCAGCAGCAGCGAGTGCTTTTCTGGAGATTGGAAGAGAGGTGGAGCCATGTGGGGTGTATGAGAGGGCAGGAGAGGAAGCAGCAAGACCAGGGGCACCAGAGGCACCAGCAGAACTAGCAGCAGAACCAGTGGAAGCACCAGGGGCAGCACAGGTTGCTGGGAGGGGATAATTATGGTGCCCGCCTAAAGGAGAGGGGCGGGGGCTGCATAAGGGAGAGCGATGGGGGCTGTGTGTGGGAGAAGAATGGGGGCTGTGTGTGGCGCTGATGCGGGGGCTGGACAAGGGAGAGGGATGGGGGCTGTGTGTGGGAGAGGCATGGGGGCTGACTGTGGCGCTGATGCGCGGGCTGGACAAGGGAGAGGGATGGGAGGAGCATAAGGAAGAGGGGCGGGGGCTGCACGAGGGGGAGCAATGAGGGCTGTGTGTGGTTGAAATGCGGGGGGTGCATGAAGGAGAGAGATGGGGCCTGCATATGGGAGGTGACTGGGGACTGTATGGGGGAGAGGGGCGCGGGCTGCATGAAGGAGAGCAACGAGGGCTGTGTGTGGTTGAAATGCGGAGGGTGCATGAAGGAGAGAGCCGGGAGCTGTGTGTGGGACCAGGACGGGGGCTGCATAAGGGAGAGCGATGGGGACTGTGGGTGGGAGAAGAATGGGGACTGCATAAGGGAGAGAGATGGGGCCTGCATATGGGAGGCGACTGGGGACTGCATGAGGGAGAGGGACTGTATGACTGAGAGGGACGCGGGCTGCATGTAGGACTGCCTACTGGGCTTTGTTGAAGCGTAGCGGTGGCATGTTCTTGTGCACCGTTGATCACTGCTGCTCTGCCACGTGGATAAGGACTCACTGGCCCAGGGACACGTGGACTTGCTGCTGTTGTGCCACGTGGGCCCACTACCCCAGTGTCACTCTTCATCCCAACCCCACCTCCACGTCCGCTCCCACTCCCACCTCCACCTGTACCTGCTGCAGCTCCTGCCCAAGGAAGGCTTATCTGGGGCAGGTACAACCTGGCGCTTTGACTTGCAAGCTTCGTGTCGTCCATCCCTGCTGCACCCCCACCTGTACCTGCTGCAGCTCCTGCCTCGGGAAGGCTCAACTGGGGAAGGTACAACCTGGCACTTTGACTCGCAGGCATCAGGCTGCCTATGCCTCCTGCTGCCTTGGGAAGGTTCACCTGGGAAAGGCTCAGCCTGGCGCTCTGGCTGGCAAGCTTTGTACCTGGTGCCCTGGGAAGGTTCAACTGGGGCGGGTCCAGCCTGGCGCTTTGGCTGGCAAGCTTTGCGCCTGCCGCCTTGGGAGGGTTCACCTGAGGAAGGTAGAGCCTGGCGCTTTGACTGGCAAGCTTAGTGCCTGTGGCCCTGGGAGGGTTCACCTGGGGAAGGTAGAGCCTGGCGCTCTGACTAGCAGGCCTCATGCCGTGTATGCCTGCGAGCCGAGGCACTGTGAGTCTGGGTCTCCGTCTCTTACGCTCCCTTGTGATCACTATGCTGTCCGAATGTGGGAACACCGGCACTCGCACGTCTTGCTCCTCTTCCCCCTCTTCCTCCTCCTCCTCATCTTCGTCATCCTCTTCTTGAGTCGACTCAAGGCTTTGCACCCTTGCGACCACTATACTGTCCGAATGCGGGAACACCGGCACTGCCACTTCTACCTCTTCCTCCTCTTCCTCCTCCTCTTCCTCCTCCTCTTCCTCCTCGTCCTCTTCTTGAGTCCACTCGAGACCCTGCACCTTTGCGACCACTATACTGTCCGAATGTGGGAACACCGGCACTGCCACTTCTACCTCCTCTTCGTCCTCCTCCTCCTCTTCCTCTTCCACCTCTTCCCTTGCCTGATCCGCTTCTTGACCCTCGTCTCCTTTGCTGTGTGCGCTTGTGACCACTCCCCTCAGCCTTGCAACTGACAGACTGTCCGAGTGCACAAACCGCCTTGCACGAGCAGGAGGAGCAGCAGAGGCGAAAGCACTGGAAGTTTCACCTGAAATTTCACCCGAATGTTCATCTGAACTTGTGCTCGGGGAACGGCCTGTCCTCCTTTTAAGCCGGTTCACAGCCAAGCTATCAGAATGCACCAACCTCCTTCGCAGATGTAACCCTTTCTCCTCCCAGCTGGTTTCCTCCTTATCCACGCCTTCCAACTCATCTTCCTCGTCTTCGTCATTCAGACCTTCCGATTCCTCATCCCCCCCTTCTTCTTCCAACACCAAATTCCCACTCCCATTCCCCCCTTCTTTCCACGCACCCTCCCTGCCCTCCCCCTTATCCTCCTCATTCCCCTCATCCTCCTCATCCTCTCCCGCTGCTTCCTCCGCCGCTCCTGCACCCTCTTCCTCCTCAATGTCAGCCATCCTCCTTTCAGGCTTCCCCACTCTCTTCCGTTGTATCAACACGCTGTCCGAGTGTATCAACCTGCGAAACCCTAAAACTGCCTCGCCCTCTCCCTCTTCATCCTCGTCATCCTCCTCGTCCTCCTCTCCCTCCAATTCCTCCTGAGAATCCCCATCCAATCCCGCTCTCCTGCGGTGCACCACCATGCTGTCAGAATGAATCAACCTGCTAAACCCTGATACTGCTGATCCATCTCCTTCCTCTCCTTCCTCCTCCTCTGCCCTGTCCTCCAATTCCTCCCCATCCAGTCCCACTCTCTTCCGATGCACCACCATGCTGTCAGAATGAATCAACCTGCTAAACCCTGATACTGCTGATCCGTCACCTTCCTCTCCCTCCTCCTCCTCTACCCTGTCCTCCTCATCCCCTCCACCATCTGCGCCTCCATCCCCATTCTCCCATCCGCTTCCCAACTCTCGCAACCCTGCCCCACCTTTCAAGCTCACCAACACTTCACCTCTCAACCCCTCTGCTTCCCCATATCCTCTCTCTCCCTCCTCCTCGTCCTCCTGGTCCTCCTGGTCCTCCTTCCCCTCATCTCTACTTAAACCAGCGCCAGAGTCTTCTAGCAATCTCTTTCGCCTGATCACCACACTATCGGCAAACCACACCAAGGGAACGCCAAACCCACCTTCTCCCTCCTCTTCCCCATCCCATTCCTCCTCTTCCTCCTCCTCTTCCTCCTTGTCCTCGTCCTCTTGCTGTCCCCCCCCCTCCTCCGCTTCTTCCCCTGACTCCCCTATAAGCACTTGCACACATTGTTTCCGAATGTAATGTTTCGGCTGGGGGGAAATTGTCACATTGTCAGCAACTTTTCCTCCGCAAACCGTCAACCCCACACCTCCCCCCTCGTCACAACCATCCGCCTCAATCTCCGTGCTCTCTTCCCCAACCTCCGTCCCCACGTCCCCTTTCCCCGCGCCTTCCCTTTCCCCTCCCCATTGCCAGTTCCCCGCGTAGCATTTAACACTTTCCCCTTCGACTCCCGTTCTCCTTGCCGCTTCCCCACTTCCCCCTTCCGCAAAGTCCCTATGTCTCTGCGCCTGCTCCGCTTGGTCTTCCCCCCATTCCGCTTCTTCCCATTCCCTTTCCTCCCGAAGTTTGGTTTCCCCACCGGCTTCACGTGATCGGGTAACAAAGTTATGGTCTCGAATGACAGGTTTCCCATATTCTCGCGATGACGCTGGCGAATTCCTCGCCGAGCTGAAACCTTTTCGCAAATCCTTGACACTGGCAGCGAAACTCGAGCATCTTGCGTCCTTCTGAGGCACCGTGAACGATCGGAACTCTGAGGGTTGTGGAACGCGTGGCGACAGGAGGTGTGACAGCCGAGAGTACGAAGTTCCCGCGGGCGACAGACTCGTGTGCGAAATACCACGCGGCGAAACCGCACTGGCGAGAAAAGACGACAGAACTGAGCGACCGGGCTGGGACGAAATACCCGATAAGTTGAAGTTACCGCTAACGTCATTAGGGTTTCTGCTGCTGCTTCTATCCAAATCAATGCTGCTGCCGCAGCCAGAACTTATGTTACTACTATTGCTGCCAGTGATGCTTCTGCTGCTGCCGTTCCCGCCGTGGTTTGCGTTACCCCTGTGATTGGCGGGGCTAGAGCTGCTATAAGTGAGATTGCAATTTCCAGCGCTCGCCTTAACTTGCGGCGACGCCAACGGCGTTTGCGACAGACGCGATTGGATCCGAGGCGTTGCAGCCGAACCCGACGGCTGAGGGTGCTGATTCCAACGACCGAGGCTGCTACTACGGCCAACACCTTTATTACCACTTGAACCATTAATACTTGAAGTATCAGAACTTAATCTCGATCTAGGGGACTGGAATCCATGCGATGATGGTTCCGTTCGGCTCGTTCCAGGAAGCTGCACCAGAGGAGCAATCATCCCAGACTCGAAGCTTCCGCCTCCCTTCCCGATGCTGTCAACGATTCCTCGTAGATCTGCGCTGCCGCTTCGGCGTACACGCATAGGAAGTTTCTGACCGTTCATATTGCTAACGTTTCCCGTTTCTCCAGCGTATTCGTTCCCCCGACTGCTTCCGGCGTCAACGCCCGCGGCTTCTCCAGACCCCCACTTTCCCCCGCTCGCTCTCCCGAGTGCTCCGCCGTTGCTTACGAGCCGCATATTGTAAGGGGTTTGGACCGGAGAATCGAGCCGCGAAAGCGAACGCTCCTGTTGGTGACCTGCGGCGGCGCGCTGTTGCGAGTTCATATCCGCGGCCTGCGCGCGTGGCGTCGCTTGAGCGCTTCTTCCTTGCGCCGGTTGCGCAAGTTCATGCGCGTGCGTCGCGTGCATCCGCCCACGCGAATCCCGCTTCCCCCACGGACCCTCGTGGTTTAACGCAAGGGGACTGTTGCAAGCGCTCGAACCGCGACTATCCGTACTCAAACTGCCGTCTATTCCGGAACGCCTATCGCCTCCTAAATTGCTCAGTGCGGGCGCAAACCCGCGACGCGGCGGCAGGCCTCTGGGAGTAGACGACGCGCTGCCACTGCGGCTTCCTCCGCCGCTTCCCCCGCTGCTTCTGGGACTGCATCCTCCGCTGTTGCTAATCCCACGAGGTGACGTCAGGGGGCTACGCTGCTGACTCGGCGGCGGTTGTCGACGTGGCAACTGCAGCCTCGGGTCCTCGCCAGTGGAGTGGCGACGCTTGGGGAGTTGGAAGCGAGGCGCCTCGAGCGAGTGGCGGCGCGCGTGATGCGCAGGTAGGCTCACTTGTGACTGTAACGAACCATTTTGTAAAGATCTTCCCTGCGATGCTACTAGCTGCAATTGGCGAATCACAGGTGGATTCGCAGCAGGCGAGGCACGACACCTCGCGGAATCTTGGCTGTTCGCGACGTCCCGGTTCGCGAAATCCCGACTCGTAGCAAAATTGTTACTGCTGCCGTCGGCGACGCTGCTGCTGCTGCCAGTAGGATATCTGTATATAGGGCTGTCCCCTTCGTTATTAGAACCCGATATTCCCGGGTATTCCACTTCTGACATGCTCACATGCCTCCGCTGCGAAGGCATCATTCGTGTTCGCACTTGCCGTCCCGAGCCGCCGTTACTCGCGCCTGGGAACGAACATGAACCCCAGGGTGTTGCCGAAGCTAAGCTCGTCGGTGTTGACGAACTTGTGCCGCGGCTTAGTGTTGACGAGCCTGAGCTTCTTGGTGTTGACGAGCCGCGTTTCGGTGACGAGTTTCCGTCTCCTCCCAAATCCCGTCCACCTTGCTGCCGCGGCATGATTCCACACGGGGAGCGGGCGCACGCGGTGGCGGCGCCAACCTGACGCACTGCACATGACAAGCGCGCAGCGGCGCCAGGTGTCTGATTTTCCGCGACCTCATGGTCAAATGAGTCACGGAAATCCCCGTCACGAGAATCCTCGTTATTGTTTTCGTGATCGCCGACTTGAAACTCGGTGTCCCGGATATTAGCATAGAGATCAGGTATCGTCAGGGAAGGAATCCGAGCTCTTGAGGTTCGTAACTCGGCCCTGGACCCCGCAACTCCATAGTCGCTGTTTGTACGGTGCACGTCCAGCATGCTCGCAAGAGGGAGACTGTCTTTCTGTAAGGTAATAGAATGTTCACGCTGAGACGCGGTATGCTAATACGCTGGTGAATAATGAGTTGATACAATGTCGGTTGCATAGAGCTTTAAAATCAGCGGCGCAGGTTGAGGAGTGAAGAACATGATGCAGTTTCACTGCGTTTAGGAATCAACGTCGTTTTCACAAAACCCAAGTCTGGAACTCTCAAGTGGAGATTAGTATGATTCGAGGCGAGATGAGGAGATGTCGAGAAGAGAGAGGAGTGGACGGCGAGACGAGACTAGACGAGACGACGCTGATTGGCTCGGAACGTTGCCCAAATTAGGAGGGAAGATATTATTGCAAAGAAACTTATCCACAATCTGTACAGAGCAGCGCTGCACTGTGCAAAATCGTGTTTCACGAACCTATCGACCACTATCCACCATTCCGCAATGCCGCGGGAGGCTAGTCCTAAAAGGTCAGACCTGAAAGGTCAGACAAGCAGTTGAGCACCCAGCCGATGACAGGCAGGTGAATGCCCAGTCGACGACAGGCAGAAATCAGGAACGAGCTGGAATGATATGATCGGACTCCACACGACGATGACACACAACACAGGCCATGGCTTGTAGTGTACCAAAGTGCCACAGGCGTGTAACAGAAAGTATCTGACACCTAAAGACAAAGCGCGCCAACAAGGTGGTGACTACCTTGGTCACTTTCAGCATATCCATCTTGATTTCGTTTAATATGTTTCCTTCCTTCCAAAGGAGTTCAGGGGACTAGGTATGTGACAAGTAAAATTCGTTTCCTTTAGATACGCCCTTGACGATGCAAGGGTGCAGCGGGTCTTGGAGGGGGACAGGAAGGAGAGAGATGCATCACCAACTCGCGCGACGCGGAATGGTGTGGTGTGGTGGAAGCACAGAACTCAGGCCGCCTCGAGCCTTGATTAATGCTACCTGAGGCGTGTTTTTCGTGCCACCTCACCACCATTCCAGTTGCTTTGTGTCAACACTAGTGCACGTGGTTTGACTGGCTGATTGAAAGGGAGGACCTTCTGGAGTTTCAGGCAGAAGCCCTTCAGGGGGGCCTGTTGTTGAGCATTTGGGCAGCTGCGGCCAGAGGACACAACCACCCTAAAAATCTTGGAGCCAAGTGACACCCCCTTGTTCGAATTGGGTGCGAACAGTGTTCCGGTCGGTCATCGCGAAACCCGCTAATGTATAGCGCATTCATGTTATGCAAAACCGAGAAAGCATAAATAAAATTTCCTAACAAATTATTGTCAGCCAAGAATGAAGAACAATGTTCGGCAATGCCATTCGTTTAGCCTCTACCTTTTGTACAAATACGGAGTGCAAAAATAAGGCCACATCTGTGTCATCAAGCTTTTGCACGCCTATTTTGCCCTTGAACCACTGAACAAAATTCTCGTTCCCCTTCCTCCCCCATTCTCATATCACAGGGGAAAATGCTGTCCAACTTGTCAATTATGCAGTATTTCTGATTATCGCATACAAAACAAATTGGAAACAAATTTGTGTGGTAACAAGACAATAGCCCTACGCCTGGTCTACTATCTGTGCGAAAATGCATTTGGAATATAAGAGCAGGGTGCATTTTGAAGCCATCTACTCCATCCTCGCTTACGGCATTGCTCGTCGTGGCCTAGAGATTGCCTTGTTCATGGCCTAGAGAGTGCTTTGCTCATGGCATAGAGAGTGCTTTGTTCACTGCCTAGAGAGTGCCTTGTTAATGGCATAGAGAGTGCCTTCTTCATGGCAGAGAGAGTGCCTTGTTCACAGCCTAGATAGTGCCTTGTTCATGGCATAGAGAGTGCCTTCTTCATGGCAGAGAGAGTGCCTTGTTCACAGCCTAGAGAGTGCCTTGTTCATGGCATAGAGAGTGCCTTGCTCATGGCATAGAGAGTGCCTTGCTCATGGCATAGAGAGTGCCTTGCTGTCAAGTGTTGTAATCTTAGTGATGTGTGTTATAGGGGGCACAACTGTTAGGGTTAGGTTTATGTACCCCATCCACCCTTAGTTAAATCAACACTTTCGTTCTTGACATAATATCACCTAGGTTAGGATCCTGTGGGATCCCGCTAGAGCCTCTCGCGTCCGTTGCACGTAGTCGACTGTTCCCGCTGCGCCTGTTTCGTCCCGTAGCGCCCTTAGCGCGTGCCCGTTCCGTTAAAAAGCGTCCGTAGGGCTAGCACTCCCCGTCGTGTCGCGTCCCCTGCCCGTCCCGTCCTCTGCCCGTCCCGTCCTCTGCCCGTCCCGTCCCTTGCTCGTCCCGTCCTCTGCCAGTCCCGTCCCCTGCCCGTCCTGTCCCCTGCCCGTCGCGTCCCCTGCCCGTCGCGTCCCCTGCCCGTCGCGTCCCCTGCCCGTCGCGTCCCATACCCGTCGCGTCGCGCTGCCACCCCCGTCCCCTGCCCGTCACGTCCCCTGCCCGTCGCGTCCCCTGCCCGTCGCGTCGCGCTGCCATCCCGTCCCCTGCCCGTCGCATCCCCTGCCCGTCACGTCGCGCTGCCGTCCCGTCCCCCGTTCGTCGCGCCCCCGCTGCGCCCTGCCCGTCCGTGGCGCCCCGTGCGGCCTGCCCGTCCATCTCGCCCTGTGCGCCCAGCCC